ACGCAATTAACGCGCGAAAGCTTAGAATTCAAATGACTGCTCAAGGATGTGAGAGTGTCAAACACGTTGATACACTTTGAATCATGTCAATATTGTCTACAATTTCACTTTTATGTTAAAAAAAAAACGACTCTAGCTGCATAATTTTTTGGAGATATATGCACGAAAAGGAAGGAGGACGACGAAAATGATTTGAGAATGTTTGGAAGTGTTGTTTCATTTTTGCAGCATTTTTTTATTGACTACTGTTTGAAAAAAAAAAACTTCCCACTGGTTGCTTTTTGGATCAAGAACATTTCCTTATTTCCTCTTCAGCTATCATAGCATATCAAAAATCACCAACTTTTTGCAAAGGTCCTTAGTTAAAATCACTATCACTTTTGTTCTCTTTTCTCTGGAGTATCGAACCTATGTTTGCGCCTGCCCCCTTTATTTAAAATTTTTTAAAAAGAACTTCGATTATTCTATGTCCTTACCAATAAACGCATAAAGGATAAGCTATGCAGTGAACTAGATGCATAATCAGCGCCATTGGCGCTCAGAATTTGCTCGGATGAAGTGCGGGGTGGCCGTTAAGAATAACGATGGCTTGCACCAGCTGCCGCTGCAACCTTGAGCAGCCTGCAAATAGCCTCGCTTTCAAAGAGCGTATGCCCGCGCAACATGCTGCCTGCGTGTTACAAAAGAGCACGGGAGACGCTCCGCTCAACCCAAACATGTCGCGGTCAATATGCGGAGAATTAGGTCCCGAAGATAAACGATTTTGAGAAGATGAACGCTTTGCATTGCTCCGCTTCAACTGTTTTCGCATTGTTCAAGAAAGAAAAAAAAAGAAACAGATCAATAGGAATATTCTAAAAGGATGTCCGTCTGTTCGATTAGATGTGCTGTTGATCAAGCCAACATTTTCAACCGAGCTTAATAATTTCTACGTCATTTTGAAGAAACAAATGCTGAAAATCATAGAAAATTTACCAACTAAGTCATACAATACAATGCCGACGATGGAATTGACAGATATCTAGGCATATTCAGAAAATCATCTAGACATTCGCCTCTTTGAACTGTCATCAAGAAGATAACGGCCTAGGAATTGGGTGTATTCATCCAGAGGTAAATCTTGGCCTCGTTCAGTCCTCAGGGCGATCTTTGAAGTGCGAACGTTCTTAGATCCTTCCCTGATGTGTTAGGTTAATCTTATTATCCATTCAACCATTGCTATTCAAGAAGTAATAGGAACTAGTCATTGAAAATTTCTGAGAGAAATCTGATCCTGAATGTTAACTCGTCACAAACCGCCTAAACACTAACTTTGGTTTGATCTGAACACGCATAGACTTGGTTTCATCATTGTTAGAAGTTATATATGCTACTTATATAAACCGAAAAATTTTTCCAAAACTGGAGTACTTTCAAAAAGGTTACAGCCAAAAATATCACTTCCGCCAATGCGACATTCTAAGAAAGAGTTTTACAGATATGACGAATACTACCGGAATATTCTGAGAATGAAAGCACTGATTAAGTTTAAATTTGCTTGGTTCTATTCACATAAGTTTGACAACGCATCACAACAGTAATGCTCCATTTGAGAGGGATGTTGTTATGGACGAAGGTAATTGCACTAGTTACTGTAGTTGCTGCGTACATGTATACTGCGCAAAGTCCGGGGTTTTCCGCGTGCAGGAAAGTGACAAAGCATATGCGCGCGCGATTGCTGCCAGCTATCGTTATTCTTGTCATACACCCCGAAGTGCGAGAGGAAATTCCATCAAAAGAGGACATGGAAAAAAAGTCAAGAGTTTTCGAGCACTCTA